GACAGGCAGAGTTAGACAGTGAGAGTGAGAGAGAGAGAAAGGTCTTCCTTTTCCGTTGGTTCACCCCCCAAATGGCTGCTACGGTCGGCACGCTGTGCTGATCCGAAGCCAGGAGCCGGGTGCTTCCTCCTGGTCTCCCATGGGGTGCAGGGCCCAAGCACTTGGGCCATCCTCCACTGCCTTCCCGGGCCACAGCAGAGAGCTGGACTGGAAGAGGAGCAACCAGGACAGAATCCGGTGCCCCACTGGGACTAGAATCCGGGGTGCCGGTGCCACAGGCGGAGGATTAGCCAAGTGAGCCATGGCACCGGCCTTTCACCCTTTAAAATCCAGTTCAGAAGTCCCTTCTGAGAAGTATCCCAAAGTCAGAGACAGAGACACAGACCCAGCGAGACGGAGATGGTGAAAGACAGAGGTGTTTAGAGAAGCAATCAGAGGGGGTGGGGAGCAGGGGAGAGGAGAGGGCCACGGGGGCTTGGGCCAGGGGAGGCTGCTCTGGCCAGCCAGTTAGCATGGGCTCAGAGCCACAGTGAGCAGGTGCGGGGCTGGGGAGAGCCCGGGGGCAGAGGCGCCTCCGGGGCTCTGAGTGAGGAACAAAGCAGCCGGAGGCTCTGAGACCTGGGCGGAGTTTATTGAAGGCTCCAGATGCGGCTCTGACTCCCCAGGGCTCTGAGCAGCAGCCCGGCTGCCCACCCAGCCTGGGGCAGAGCTGTAGGGCCCATGGGCACTGGAGGGTCTGGGCATAGAATGGGCACAGGCACATAGGCTGGAGACTGCAAGGGGAAACCGAGGCAGGGCAGGCAGGTGGGCAGGACCCTGGGAGTGGCCAGCAGGGAGGGGGGCGGCCATCTCCCAGCCTTAGGACGCCACGGTGAGCACGACGGCGTTCTGCAAGGACAAAGGCTCCCGGTCAGGCCCCGAGGGCTTGGCCCCACGTCCCCACCACCCCTGCAGCCCTGAGCCCGCCTCCATCACCCCTGCCGCCACCCTGGCTCAGCGCCAGGCCTGGACCACAGCGGGCACTCTTTCATTAAATGACAGATAAATGATGAAGACAGGGCGGCCGGCATGG